TGTGTGCGAAGAAATTCTTAGTGTTCTTCATTTTCTTTCAAGAACTCTTTGTGTTTTTCTTGTAAGTTCTTCTCCTTGTAAGATTGTTTAGGTTAGGTTTTCCTWTCCTATCTTCCGCAACAATCTTTTGTATTTCTGTGTGTGTTAATTCTTGATATAAATCAATAAGAATTAAAAAGTTGAAAAAAGTCTGTGTTATTGTATTCAACCCCCCTTCTATAATTACTTTCTGTTTATTGCCATCCCCTTCGGGACTAACAAGTGGTATCAGAGCAGTTAGCTTAATCTCATAAGCTAGATCTGCAATGGCCTCTTCTTCTTCCAACTCTGCTCCATCTTCTTACCAAGACAATGGCACTATTGCCAAGCCTCCCAAGTTTAACAAGAATAATTTTTCTATGTGGAAAAGTCGCATGACACTCTACCTTGAGGGTGTTGATAGTCAATATCTCTCAATCCTCAAGGATGGACCCATTGTTCCTAAAGTATGGCTTCGTCATGGAAAGAACAAAGACGAAGGTAACTCTTCAAATGATTCTGATGATGATGAAGACAAATCTGATTCTACTAGAAGGTTCATCATCAAAGATCCTTCTCAGTACAATGAAGATGACAAAAGAAAAGTTTCCTTGGACACCAAGGTAAGGGCTATCATTGCCCTCTCTCTTCCTGATGATGTCTTCCACTCCCTGGTAAACCTGTCTACTGCCAAGGACATGTGGAACACTCTATGTGTCTGTATGAAGGAACCATCAAAGTAAAGAAAAACCAGAAGATTGGCCTCGTTAAGCAATATGAGCTCTTTATGCAAGGGAAAGGTGAATCTCTCACTGAGTACTACAACAGGTTTAATATCCTTCTCAGTGATATGAAGTTTTATGGCAGAGTCTATGAAAATGAATAATTCATGTGCAAGTTCATGGACTGTTTACCAGACTTCTGGGAAAGCATCTGTACTTGTATCAAGACAAGTAAAGATCTTGAAAATATGCCTCTTACTGCTCTTTATGGAACTCTCCATAACTATGAGCAAACCAAGATTCTGAAAAAGGCATTATTGAAGGATCCCAGAACTACCTCTCCTGTTGCTCTTCTCTGCAACGATACGAGGAAGCCAGTCAATGAACCTCGTATCACTTATCTGACTGATACTGAAGATGATGCTATCAGAAAAGAAGAACTTGTTGAAAGCCATGCTGATGATGCTGATGATAAGGGTGATGAACCCTCAGTGAATGACTTAGCTGACAATATGGCCATGATGGCTACCAACTTCAAAAGGTATGCCAAAAAGGGTTCTTCCAACTTTTCTCCCAGATCTAAGGTCATCGATCGTAGAACCTTAGACCAACCTAAGTCAGCTCCTCTTGATCTGTCCAATGAGGAGTGCTTCAAATGTGACAAGAAAGGTCACTTTGCTGCTGAGTGCAAAAGCAAAAGGATCTCTAAGTGTCATCCTTTTCATCCCTCTAGCAGATCCTCTCACGATAAGTACAAGGCAAAGTACAAGAGAGAAAAGGCAAAGAACCAGAGCCTTCAGAGAAAAGGAAAGGGTCTCATGGTTGAGACTCAAGATTGGATTGATGAGCCAACCTATTCCTCCAGTGATGAGAACATGACACATCTGTGTCTTATGACCAACATCCAGGAGATAGAAGACTCTGTCAAGGGATCCTCCTCTACTGTTGTTACTGATCTACCTTCTACCTCTAAGGATGCCAAAGATCTGGTCAAGCCAAAGAAGGTAAACAACTTCTCCTCTCTCTCTGAATCTGAAAAGGTTCAACCTTATGATTCTTTATCTGTTGATCTTTACAATGCTAGATCTGCTAAGAAGAAAGCTGACCTTGAAATCAAAAGTCTAACTAGTCAGTTACATAAATGTATGAATCAACTGAAAGACTTTGATAAGTTGAAAAAAGACCTGAAAGAACAAAAGTTAATAAACAATGTTCTTAACAAAGAAAAAACTAAGGTCTTTGAGAAGCTGGAGAAAGAAAAAGCCATTCTTCAAAAATGGGCTAGATCATCCAAGAACCTAGATAAAATTTTACATGATCAACTTCCTAGTGAAGTAAAGACTGGACTAGGTTATGATGATTTGGATCTGTGTGCTCCTGATGACTCTATATGCATTTCTTCTCACATTCTTTCTTCCTCCTCTCCATCTCACTTATCTGATTCTGTTGGATCTCTTTCTCCAAGATCTAATGATAATGGAAAATCTCTTAAGTTCGGAATTTTTGTCAAAGCTAACAATCCAAACTCTGAATCTGAGAATGTTCCTGTCGACTGTGTGTTTAACTTTCTCTCTCTTAAGGAATCTCCTGAAGCATGCCCATCTAAATCTAAAATATTTGAGCATCTGAAGCATCCTTTGAATCATCGTTTCTCTGCTGCTGAGAAAGGCAAGTCTGTGGACAAGCCTATCAAGAATAAGAAGCCAAAATCCAAACTGAAGATAAAACATAAGCCTTCGGCTACCTCATCTCAGTCAGTTGTTGCTCCTCAGACTGGTACCTCAGTACCTTCTATTACTGAGTTCGTTCCTAGACCAGTTTCCTTGAAAAAGACTTCCAAGATTTCTACCTCTTCTAAGAAACCTATCTCTTAGTCTGAAAAAGGGATTCTTGGTTCAAAACCCTCTTCATCTTCTGTCCCTCATTCCAAAGCTTATTCTTCTCTCAAATTATCCAAAAAGCATGTTAACACAGTTAAGCACACCTTTAATTTCTATTAAACCTATGTTTATTTATCGAAAATGTTATAACTGTGGTGACACTTTTCACATGGCCAAGAACTGTCCCAAGGAAAGAATCTCTAGGCTAATAAGAGAAAAGAAAGAAGAAGATACTCCTAACCCCAATGGACCCATTGTAAAATGGGTACCTAAAAACTGATTTATCTGTGTTTGCAGGGCTTAGGACACCGACAGATATGGTACTTGGACAGTGGATGTTCAAGACACATGACTGGAAACAAGTCCCTATTGATCAACTATGTGTCTGAACCTGGTTCTTCTGTAACCTTTGGAGATAATGCCAGAGGTACTACTAAAGAATATGGTGTTCTTTCTAACGGCTCGGTTACCTTCAACCGAGTAGCTTATGTGGATGGACTGAAGCACAATCTGTTAAGCATCAGTCAGCTATGTGATCTCAACTTCATTGTGAAGTTTGAAGAAAACCAGTGTACTATTCTTGACTCTTCTGGCAAGAAGGTATTAACTGGTATCCGAAAGGATAATGTCTATGTGATCAACATGGACTCTTCTAGCTCTTCTGATGCCAACATCTGTTCCTACTCCGAGGCTACTGCTGATCAAAATTGGCTATGGCATAAAAGGTTGTCTCATCTCAACTTCAAAGCCATCAATAATGTTTCTAGTAAAGATCTGGTTATTGGACTTCCGAATATGTCATATGTCAAAGTGAAGCTGTGTGCTGCTTGTGAAAAAGGCAAGCAAACCAAAGCAAGTTTCAAGTCCAAGATGTGCTCTTTTATTTTTGCTCCTTTGCACATGCTCCACATGGATCTCTGTGGTCCTGTGAGTGTTCAAAGTTTGGGTGGAAAATGTTATACTCTTGTTATTGTGGATGAGTACTCAAGATATACTTGGGTCTTCTTTTTTCAACACAAGAGTGATGCAGCTAAAGAAATTATCAACTTTGTGAAGCGAGCTGAAGTCTTGAATGGTTAACTTATCAGATCATTTCGAAGTGACAACGGCACTGAATTTAAAAATAGTGTTCTTGAAAGCTTCTTTGATGACAAAGATATTTCTCAAAATTTCTCAACAGTTCGAACTCCACATCATAATGGAGTTGTTGAAAGGAGAAATCGTACACTATGTGAAGCTGCACGTTCAATGCTAAGTGAAGCAAGTCTTCCGACCTATTTTTGGGCTGAAGCTGTCAATACTGCTTGCTTTACTCAAAATAGGTCTATAATTGTGAAAAGACACAATAAGACTGATTATGAAGTCTTTCATGGTGGAAAACCAAACATCATCTTCCTTCATGAGTTTGGTAGCACATGCTTTATTCTGAATGACAGAGATCAGTTAGGGAAGTTTGATCCTAAATCTGATGAAGGAATTTTTGTTGGTTACTCTCTTTTCTCTAAAGCCTACCGGGTATACAACATGCGTCGTCAGTGCATTGATGAATCTATCAATGTCAGATTTGATGAATCTAAATCGATGCCTGCATCATCATCATTCCAAAGTGATGATCTTGAGCTAAACAAGTGGTTGGAATCTCACTCCTCTGAGAATTCAACTCCAGTCGGTGGACCTCCACACTCTAATGGAGATGTTCCACCCGTTGAGGAAGATGAGAATGAAGATCTTTTATTCAACATGAATATTCCATCGGTCAGTCCTGAACAAGAACAGCCGATCCGGCACCTCTTTCCTATGTGGAACCCTCAACTGGTGTCGATGTTCCTACTTCTTCTACTAGGGACATCAGTGACCCAACCTCAGTAGTCGTTTATTCCAATCCTCTGACGAATGCTGACGGTGCCTCTACCTCTCTTCCTTTTCCTCTTTCTCCTGCCATTAAGTGGACCAGAGATCACCCAATAAAGCAAATTATTGGTTATCAGCAAGCAGGTGTCCAAACTCGTCGCGGTGCTGGTAATATCTGTTTGTATGTCAATTTTCTATCTCTCATCGAGCTTAAAAGAATTGAGGAAGCCCTTGATGATCCTAGCTGGATCAGTGCCATGCAAGAAGAACTGCTACAGTTTGAGCATAACAAAGTTTGGAGACTGGTCCCCCGACCAACCAACAAAACAATTATTAGCACAAAGTGGATCTTCAGAAAAATAAATGGACGAGAACAGAACGGTGACTCAAAACAAGGCCCGACTCGTTGCCCAAGGATACATGCAAGAGGAAGGCATTGATTATGATGAGACATTCGCTCCGGTAGCAAGGTTGGAAGCTATCTGAATCTTCCTTGCCTATGCTGCATTCAAGAACTTCAAAGTTTTCCAGATGGATGTCAAAAGTGCCTTCTTGAATGGGAAACTTACTGAAGAAGTCTATGTAAAGCAACCTCCAGGCTTTGAGGATCCTAAACATCCAGGGTATGTCTATAAATTAGACAAAGCTTTCTATGGTCTCAAACAGGCTCCTCGTGCATGGTACGACACTCTCTCTACTTTTCTTTTGGAAAACGGCTTCTTCCGTGGTAAAATTGACAATACCCTCTTTCTCAGGAAACATAAAGGTAATGTCATTCTTGTACAAATTTATGTGGATGATATCATATTCGGTGCCACAAAAGAATCTATGTGTAGAAAGTTTTCAAAACTCATGCAAAGTAAATATGAAATGAGTATGATGGGTGAACTCACATTTTTCTTGGGTTTGCAAGTCAAGCAATCCGACAAAGGAATTTTTATAAATCAAAGAAAATATGTTAAAGATCTTATAAAGAAATTGGATTTTAATGAGTGTTCTTCCATGAAAACTCCAATGGCACCCCCCTTGAAACTGAATGCAGACCCCGATGGCAAATTGGTAAATGTGACCAGTTATAGGGGAATGATCGGCTCCTTACTTTATCTAACTGCTAGCCGACCGGATATTATGTTCTCCACATATCTTTGTGCAAGATACCAAGTGAATCAGAAGGAATCTCACTTGGCAGCCGTTAAACGCATTTTCAGGTACCTGAAGGGTACTCCCAATCTGGGTCTTTGGTATCCCAAAGACTCAGGTTTTGATCTAACAAGTTTTTCAGATTCTGATTATGCAGGTTGCAAAGTTGACAGAAAGAGTACAACTGGTAGTTGTCAGTTGTTGGGTGGAAAATTAGTCAGTTGGACTAGCAAGAAGTAACACTCCGTGTCCACCTCAACAGCTGAAGCTAAGTATGTTGCTGCAGGTAGCTGATGTGCACAAGTTTTGTGGATGAAAAATCAGTTAGCTGATTATGATCATTTGTTCACAGAAATTCCTATTTTCTTTGACAATTCAAGTGCCATTGCTATTGCCAACAATCCAGTTCTTCACTCTCGTACAAAGCATATTGATATTCAGTATCACTTTATCAGAGATCATGTGATGAAAGGTGATGTTGAACTTCATTTTATCCTGACAGACTATCAACTCGCTGACTTGTTTACCAAGCCTCTTGATGAAGCTTGATTTAATTTTTTGATCTGTAATTTGGGAATGTTAAATTTTGACAAATAATTTTTGAGTTTTCACCAATTCATTTGGGTTGTGTGTCTTCTCTAAAAATGCTGTGTCATTTGCTCAAAAATAGTCTGGTATCTGTGTGAATATGTTTATCTCCTTCTAAAATATTATTTTTTTTCAAAATGATGGGTTTCATACTCGTACATTTTTTTCTTGAAAATCAATTTCTCTTTTCTTTTTTCTAAAAAGTTTCTGTGTGAATTCCTAAAAATTCGTATTTTTTAATTTATTTTACATTAAAAAAAGAGAAAGTTTTTATTTATATTTATATGTAGTGTTTTTATTAGTTTTTGCATTTTATGTTTAATTGTTAACACATGTTGTGGGCCTCTCCAATTTGGGCCCAGCTCCTCCTCTCCACCCGATTTCTTTAGCTTTTACCTCAAACCGATCCACCAAGCCGAACCCCCCAAACCGATCCACTCTTCTCTCTCCTTAGACACCTCACACAAGCCGATTGCAATAGGTCCTTCCCCTCTCCCTCATCTCTCCACACTGATCCCTCCCTCTTTCAGCCTAAACCATCTTTTGGCCTAAACCATATTCGGCCTAAACCATTACAAGCCGATTCCATTGGGCTTCCCGTTCACTCATACCCCGATCACCCACTCCTAAACCTCCTCTCCCCAATCGGCCTCTCACATCAAATCGGCCTCCCTTTCCTTTGTTAAGCCGATCCCACTACCTCTTTCATTCTAGCCGACTCCCTTGCATCGATCCCTACACAAACCAATCTCCAATCCCCAATCCGCCTCCCCTCTAATCCCCTTAAGCCGATTACAATCCATCCAATCGGCCTCCTTTCCTCACACCGACCTTCTCTCCTTCGGCTCTCTCTCCTTCGCCTCTATTCTTCATAAGCTGAACTCTAACACACCATTTAACATCAATTACCCAAGCCGACCTTCTCTCTCCATTTGGCTTCCCAACTAGTCCTAAACCCTAATAAAATAGCCGCCCCGCTCCTTTATATCTCCCATCTCCATTCGGCTCTCTATCTCACTCGCCTCCCCCCCTCTCGGTATCGGCCTGCACCGAATCTCACTGCTAGTCGGCTTCTCAATCGGCTTGTGTCGCCAGCCGACTGTCCCCTTCTCAATCGGTATGTTCGTACCTAGCGCCGCCCAACCTTGTATCCTCTCCTCTCTTTGGTGTTTGTCTCCCATTCACCAACATTTTTTTTCTTTAACCCTCTCCCCTACCTACATCACATCCCATCCACCTAATACTCATTCAAGGACCCAAACCCACACTCCTCTCTTTACACCTATTTGTTTTACCTTGTCCAATCTTGAACTTTTACTTTCCCTAGGTTACACCTTTTTATCCAACATATTTTTCCCTCTTCCCTTCTCTCTTTTTAAAACTTCATCATCTCCTCTTTTTAAATATTTTCCACCTCTCTTCTTCTCTAAAGCTTCCTATCAACCTCTCCTTTCCTTCAAAGTTTATTGTGTGTTTTAAAGATTCACCATCCATGGCTTCTAAAGTTGGAACTCCCTCCAAAGCTCTGAAAGTTAAGAAATCTGTTTCCCTCACTACTGATGATGTTACATTTTCTCCATGCAATTTTGTGGCATTGTTGGATCACAATGAAAAGTATCCAGATTTCTTCATCATCATCAAATTTCTTCGTAAGTGCCCTCTTTTCAAAGCTTTTACTTATTTTCCAAAGATGAGTAAATCTCTACTACGAGCTTTTTGGGCCACTTGTGTATATGATGCGTCTACCAAATCTATGCATGCAACTGTGTTATCTGTTAATGATGTATCATTTACTGCTGATGATTTATAAAGAGTGTTTGATCTTCTTACTTATTCCTCTTATGATGAACTCGTATCTATTGATAATCTTCATATTGCTGCTTCCACCATGGGCTATGTGCAAGACCCTGCTTTGATAAAACAAAGCACTCTTTATAGGAAGAATATGGGTGGTGTTTGGAACTTTTTCTTTTCTCATCTTATTCAATGTTTGAGTTCCAAAACTAGAGGAATGGATCAGTCACCCACTTCGGTCACCCAACTAGCTCATGCACTTATTTTCCAGAAGAAAATTGACTTTGTTGGTTATTTTTTTGGAAAGTTGGTAAAGAATATGGGTAGTGCCAAATGCTCTACTGTGCCTTTCATTAGATTTATATCCATGCTGATTGCTGACAAACTTGGGTCACATATGCCGGCCGATACTGATAATTTCTATAACCTCAAAGTGTCTCAAGTTGGCATTCAGACTTTAAAGAAGGCATCATTATCTACAGATCTTCCTCTTCCATTAGGTATGATTTCTTTTGCCACCTCTTCTCACCCTGTCTAGGGAGAGTGCTCTGTGACTACAGTAGCTGGGGACCTTCCTCATGTTGCTCCGATCACCCAACACTCCTCCATGATAGTGGCCCCTCCCCCTTCTACTTCTTCAGCTACTGCCTTAAAAGAGGTCGCCTCCTTTGTCTGGAGACGGCTGGCAGATAGCTTTGTTCCCCCATCCTCCGCATCTGCTTCTGAGGCTATGACTTTGAAAGCGCCTTCGGAGTCTCACCCCACCTCTCACCCCTCTCACTCAAAGCGGAGTCACTCTAGATTATCCACTCTTGGTTCATCTAAGAAGACCAAGAAACCAAAAAGGGCTAAAAACACATCTCCAACCAAGGACTCTCAACAGTCCAAGGTTGTTGAAGTTGGTTCTACTGAGCCTAGGACATCTGTTATACACCCCCTAACTCCTCAGTGCCCTCTCAACAGGACACTGTTGTACATACGGGGATCCCACATCACTTCACCTTAGCATCTCTACATGACCTTGGTGATGACTCGGATACCTCCTCTTTCCGAGGTCTTTCCTGTCCTCCACATATTCATGGCCTATCACCCGAGATCGATGATCTTGATGATATTGCATGGATGGATGATTTATCAGCACCGTCTGATCTTGACATCCCTTTTATCGATTATCTTCTTATGGATGTAGGTAGTGAGACTTACCAGCCTACTACCTCTACTAAAGTGGTAATCGGCGACCCGCCTCATGCAGGCGTCGATGATACAGACACCGAGCCTCTCACCGATGTCGGTGATAAAGACACTGAGCCTCTCGCCAGTGTTGCTGATATAGATATTGAGCCTCATGCCGATATCGTTGATACAGATGTTGAGCCTCACGCCACATCAATGATACTCCCATCGGTGACTCTCAGGGCGCCAGTGGTACTGAGAGTGTTGGTGGTTCTTCTCCGAGTGGGTCAGCAAGCCCAATCAAAGCTTGCTCCCCTACTCCA